AACGGCTCTTAAAGACTAAGATATAAAACACTAAAGCACATTTTCACACTTGAACAAAATTGGTTCTCGATCAAGAGATTAGATTTACCAAATACAGGGTATTATAATTTTCCTCCCCTTAAAAGGATTTCGTCCCCGAAATTGAGTTAGAGCTATGAATTATGTACCTGAAAATACCTGTGGATATTCTTTGCGCATCGAATCTTCAGTTTTCCATGTAGTTTCTCGTTCTGAATGATTTCGCCATAACACTTTGACAACGGGACAGTTTTTTGTCGCATCACTCTTTCCTCTCGATCAATAATTGCTTCCGGTTCTTCATTATAGGAAAGATAACTTTAAATTTTATCACATGGACACTCTACCACTTAAAGAGGGTGGTAGTTGTACCTACGAAGCGACAATACATGGAAAACATTGTATATATGCGATAATTGAGGCGGTAGGGCTAGACGATATGCAACTTTTCCAACACACTCCAAAACTTCGAATGGACCGATGTATCTAGGGCTAAGCTTGCCTTTGATTCCAAATCTTCGGATACCTTTGAACGGAAAGACTTTCAAAAAGACATGATCACCCAGATGGAATTCGAGAGGCCTGCGGTGTTTGTCCGCATAACTTTTATGGTGCGATTGAGCCTCTTTCATTTTCTGTCGGGCCATGTTGACTTTTTTTATAGTAATAAGAACCAATTCGGGTCCTTCGATGACTTTTTCTCCGACTTCATTCCAACAGGTTGGCGCACGACATTTTCGTCCATATAAGGCCTCGTACGGAGCCATCCTGATACTGAATTGCCAACTGTTATTATACGAGAATTCCACGTGATAAAGAAACTCATCCCAACTACAGGCCCACTCCAAAACACACGCTCGTAGCATATCTTTAAGCGTTTGAATTTTTTGTTAGATTTGCCCGTTAGTTTGAGGATGAAATGCTGAACTCATAGTCAATCTTGAACCCCAAGCTTAATTCAATCCAGTCCATAATCGTGAAGTGATAGAAACCGGCGTACCGTGTAATCTCACGATTTCTCGTTGGAAAATTTCAGTAAGTTTACTGACTGAAAACGTTTCCTGGATTKGGAGAAAGTGAACARATTTTGTCAGTTGATCAACTATAACCCAAATCGCGTTGTGACGCCTTGGCGTTTTTGGTAGCCCAGTTACGAAATCCATGGAAATGTGTTCCCACTTCCAGACAGGGATTTCCAATGGTTGTAGTAAACCACTGACCCGCTGATGTTCAATTTTAACTTGTTGACAGGTTAAACAACTAGCTACATATTTGGCTATATCTCGTTTCATTCCGTTCCACCAAAAGTATTGTTTCAAGTCTTTATACATCTTGGTAGAGCTAGGATGAATTAAGGAAGGTGAGTTGTGGGCCTCGTTCATGACTGCATTTTTGAGATCAGCAACATTAGGTACACAAAGTCGATCTCGAAACCAAATAATAACATCATTGTCAACCTGAAATTCAGATTTTGGATCATATTTAAACTTTTGCACAACCGCCCATAATTCACCATCTTCACCTTGTGATTCTTTAATTCGAGAAGTCATAGTTGCTTCAACCATACAAGCATATAACAAACCAACTTCTCCATGAAGATAAAATTCAATGCTCAACCTTTCTAGTTTTGCAGAAATTTCTGGTGGCACCATTATACAAGACACATTACCAATGTTTGTATGACTTAAGGCATCGACAGCAACATTCGCTTTACCCGAATGGTACTGAATTCAGATATCATAATCCTTTAGAAGTTCGAGCCATCATCGTTGTCGCATGTTTAACTCCTTTTGAGTAAATATGTACTTCAAGCTCTTTCATTTCTGAAGGAGCCATACGATATGGAGCTTTTGAAATTCAGGTCCCGAAATTAAATCAATAGAAAATTGAACTTCACGTTCTGGAGCAATGCCGGGGAGTTCATTTGGAAAAAAAACATCTAGAAATTCATTAACAATATGAATATCTTCAGGTTTAAGTTGTATCTCACCCGGATCTTGAAATGCAGCTAAGAAGCCTTCACAACTTTGCCAGATTAAAACTTTAGCTTGGAAGACCGATATGACTTGAGTTCCCGGTTTAGGCGAGACACCTTGGAATACATATTCAGGGATGATTTTATCCCCAAATATCACTTGCTTTGAATCGCAGTCGATCATAGTCCGATGTTCGGATAACCAACCCATACCAACAATTATATCAAAATGGTTCATTTTCATTGGAAGCAGATTGGTCTTCCGAATTCGATCTCCATTAAGTAAAGGACAATCTTTGTACTGTGAAATAATACAAATAGAGCTCCCAATAGAGGTAGAGGTAAGCAAGGTAAACTTAAGTGACTGTTCATACTGCTTAAGATTATTTTCAAGATGTTCTGCAACTATAGAATGAGTTGCTCCTATATCGAAAATGCATGATATTCATATCATCAATAAAGAGGTGACCAAAAACCATACCAGTAGTGGGTTTGTCTGATGATAATGCGAATACTCGACCTCCAGCCGTGGACTGCTTTTCCTTTTCTTTAGTCTGACCTGTCCCTGAAGCTTTAGTCAATTGACCCACTTTACAATCCCTAGCCAGGTGACCTTGCTGACCACAGTTATAGCATGAACCGATCATTCGAAGGTATGGACCCGGTCGATGTGGTAAATTACATTCTTTACAAACAGCTAAGAGAGTCGTGACTGAAGGATTTGAACTTGAAATACTCTGAGATGACCCTGAAAATCTACTACCACTAAATCTCCTTTTATCTGAATTGCCTGACTTGAACCTGTTGAAACTTCCCAATGACCCATCCTGTTTTCGCTTTTTATCTTTGTCGCTCTTGTACTGAATGGTATCGAGTCTTTCTCTTTCAATATTTCGTGCAGCGTCAGCAACCTGACTAACTGTAGTAAAACTCTGATTGAGCAGCTTCGACCTGTACTTCCCATTAACTGACCATTTGAATTTTTCAGTTTGATGTGATGGAGTACCCTCAATGAAACCCGCGTAATTAGCCAAAGGAATCTAGTCATATAGTCGGAGATAGACTCGTCCTCTTGCTGACGAATAGTAGTATATTCTCGACCATACGCGTCTTTATCAGAAGTGGTGAAATATTGTTGATAAAAGAGCTCCTTGAATTCTCCTCAAGTCAGAGACTCGATATCAACCACCCTAGAATGCGCTTGTTTCAGTTGTGCCACCAACTGTATGCATCGCCTTCTAATTTGTACACTGCCAATTCAACACAGATATGATTGGGGCAACCTAAAACATGAAATATCTTTTCCAAATGTATGATCCAGTCCTCGGCATCAATTGGAGTAGCTGTAAAAATAAATATTCGAGGTTTTTGTTTGTGAAATCGTTCAAGCCATAAGTGAATCTCTTGATAATTACCCCCAGTGTTGGTTCCTTGACCTTGAGTCTCTAGAGTTGGTCCACAGGGTTTGGGTTCAGACCCTCGTTAGATTGACGGAGTGCTTCTACCGTTTGTGCTACAAAACTTGGTAGCCTCTCAGACATAATTTGGTGGATTGCAGTCGTAATATTAAGGTCGATCGATTGGGTTGGTGGGGCATCAAATACATTTTCTGGCTCGGTCTGATCTCTTCTGGATCGTCCCCGTCTTGGTCCTTCCAAACTCGGTGGCATATGAATTAATACATTTGCCACATAATTTTTCATTTTTGCCATTATTGGATATAAAAACACGAAGAATAATTTCAATCTAACGGAAAGTAGAAATTGAGTTAAATAAATAAGAATAATGCAATTAAACCATTAGGAGAGAAACCTAAGCTACTGAATCCTAATATTATCATTCCTCACACATCAAACTTGGTCGTACTTATAGAATCATAACCTATAGCTCTGATACCATATGTGTAACACCCCATCCTACTAAACTTAAGATGAGACATGTCACAACCGAAAACGGATCAAAAGTTTACCATTTATAGTACAAAGCTCTAATGGAACTCCCAAAAAAAACATTACAACCATTATATTACATAGCACTAACATAATCACCTAATAACATAGCAAAAACACTATATTCAA